TCTATTCATTCATCCATCAGGAGACACTTGGATTGCTTTTACCTCTTGGCTTTTGTGAACAATGCTGTAGTGAATGTAGGTGTGCAAATATCTCAAGACCTTCCTTCCTACTCTGATTACTTTTAAAAATGTTAAACCAACATTGCATTCCTGGAGTAAATACAACGTGATCATGATATGTTACCTCTTATATATAGCTGAATTTAATTTGCTAACGTTTTGTTTGGGATTTTAGATGTAGCGTATAGTGCCGATGTGGTCGTTCTTAGAGTTGTCTGTACGCCGGGAATCTCCAGGACAGGTTTAAAGAGCACCTGGGCTCCACCTGCCCAGAGATCCTGGTTTGATTGGTTCTGAGTGGAGCCCCCAGGTGTCAGGACTTTTTAAAACTCCCCAGGGGATTGTGACATACAATTTCAAGAACTATCTGTGTGAATAGCATTAGCTCAGCTAATCTGGAAAGAATTCATAGAGACGATGGATCTTACAGTGGTGTGTGAACATGGGAAGGAGCGAGATTTCTGGCAAGGGAGAGATGGCTAGACATGGTCAACTGCTAGAACAGAGCAGAGAGCAGGAGCCGGGGCTGGCAGTGAGGGGTCACTGGTGACAGCATGGAACTAGGTTTAATGCTGAGTCAAGAGGCTGCCATGAATCTCAAGAGGAGGGTATGCGACGCCATGGTTGTTTGGCGGAGGAAGTTGCCATAAGATGGGGTGTGGTCTGGGGCTTTGCTGATGAGGTTGAAAAGGAAACGACAGAAGGCAGGTGTAAATAAGGCTCTCTCGGGGTTCAGATGAGTAGTTTTACCTCATTGGTGATTCTCTACCTAACTTACTGTTCAAGAAGGGAACTCACTCCTGAGTATGGTAGGAGTTCCTAGAGGCATCCAGAGCACGACTGCCTCAGTCAACCTTCTGGTCCTATGAAAGGTGCCGGTGAGTGCCGGTTAGTTCATCAAAGCCTCTGATGTCCATTCGTTCACTCTCCTCCATTCAAATACTCACTCATCCAACACATAGTTACTGAGCACTTGCTTAGGACATGACCAAGGATTCGAGAACCACAGGAGTATTTGGTTCTCATCAGGGCAGTACCCTCTGCAGTGGGGGTCAGAAATTTCAGGGCTGTTTTTGGTTTTACAGTGATTGAGGTGCACTCGTGGTGGAGGGGACACCAGGGGACCTGCTATTCCCCAGGCAGTCCTGCACAATGACAGAAGGTCCCATGCCCCACCCAACTTCCCAGTGGATCAGACATGCATGTATATAGAAGGCTTTTCCAAGAATGCTCCTACTGTCCAGTTGAGGGAAGATAGTATCTTGTTTTATTTAGCGCTTTACCACGAACCACTCGCTGTCTGGGAAAATGGCATCACTGATGGCAACGCCCAAACGTGATTCTACAGATCGGTACGTTCGAGGATAATTTTTGAAAGTGCTTGTAATCATGATGCTCATTCAACTATAAAATGAGCCTGTGTCAAAGATTTTTATTTAACTCAGTAAGGACAAGGCAAGTAATTCATATAACCAGGAGTAAACAAACAAATACTTCACAGGTAAGGAATAATGAAGTGAATTCACAAATAGATGCAAAACCAGTCAGTATTGGCAGGGAAATCCTTGACTGCACTCCGGTGCACACATTTTGCATTTAGCCTTTCTCTGGACAAGAGTCATTTCTAATATGAACATATTTATTTATTTAAATTTTTATTTATTTTTAGATTTTATTTATTTGAGAGAGAGCGAGCATGCGCACCTGAGAGCACAAGCATGGGGGAGGGGCAGAAGAAGAAGCAGGCTCCCCACTGAGCAGGGAGCCCGCTGTGGGGCTTGATCCCAGGACCCTGAGATCATGACCTGAGCCTAAGGCAGACGCTTAACCGACTGAGCCGCCCAGGTGCCCTTATAACATGAACATTTTTATACAATTTGCAGAGTAGTTGGCTCTAGGGCAGTGAATGAGAGGGGAAATAACCAGAAGTCTAAGCAGAACACTCAATCTGTTTTGTCCATTTGAGTGCCTTTCTTAATTTTTCATGATACGGGCATCAGACTTTGTCTTTGGTGCAGCCATGCCCAAATACTCACACAGGAAAATGCATGTTTCTCAAATTATAAATTATTTTTCTTTTCTCCTTTATGTTAGAGTATAATATTATTTTAAAATTATGTGTGCGGGCGAATTTTATTCTCAGTGGACTTAATGTTAGAATAGTGGATGGCTATTCGCTATGTACCTGGGTGGCTCAGTTGTTAAGCATCTGCCTTCAGCTCAGGTCGTGATCCCAGAGTCCTGGGATTGAGCCCCGCCTCAGGCTCCCTGCTCCGTGGGAAGCCTGCTTCTCCCTCTCCCGCTCCCCCTGCTTGTGTTCCCTCTCTCACTGTGTCTCTCTCTGTCAAATAAATAAATAAAATCTTAAAAAAAAAAAAAAAAAGAATAGTGAATGGGGTGTCAGAAAACGTTTGCAGTAAAAAGAGGGCATTGGGACCAATGGCAGGGAGGAGCCTGGACTAACTTACCCTCGAGGTGTCTTCCTGCCCTGCATCATCCTGTGATGGTCCTCTGTCTAGGGTGCTGATGAAGCTCATAGGCTCTTAGAGCCACTGCTCTGAATCCAGGCTGCCCCACTTCCTAGCAGTATGACCTTGGGGAGGCTTCTTGTCCTTCTCCATGCCTCATGTCCTCTTGTGTAACACAGGCACGGTAATAAACCTCACAGGGTGACATTGGAACTGAATGAGTGGTCTATGTGTCGCTCCAGAATGATGCCTGGTGCAGTGAGGTGCTTGGGAAGGACTCGCTTCCCCATCTCTTAGACAAGCCTCCAGGGTGTGAGCACGATGGTCCCCAGCAGCCCCTAGCTTCCTGTGATGGGTTTGAGCTTTTCAAGGCACAGCCTGGAGGCTAGTGGTAAGAAAGAAGGGAGCAGGAAAGCTTGCAGGGTGGGGATGAGGCTGGAATGGGATGGGGTCACACCATTTTTAATGTGTTTTATTTCTGCAGTTTAAAAAAAACCCTATCTGACATTATTGTTTTCCATTCAGTCAAGAAATAAAGGCTTATTGAAACTTATCCACAAATTTACCACTTTGTCATCTTCATTCCTCCTGGAATCTCTGGCCTTCCATATGGAATCCCTTCCACTCAGTCTGATTCCGTTCAGTCTAAAGCTGATGCCTCAGATGTTCCCTTAGTGTGGGTGTGTTGCTGGCCAATTCTTTGTTTCATTTTGTTTTGTTTGCCTGGAAGCACCTTTATCTCATTATCAGTATTGAAGGAGATTTTTGCTGGGTATAGAATTGTTGCTTGGGAATTTCCACATATTTTCCTTTGGTGCTGGGAAAATGACATGTGTTCATTGCCTTGTGGTTTCTACAAAGAAGTCAGCTGAGAGGGGCCACTGTTTTGAAGATAGCCCTTCTTTCTCTTGTCACTTCTAAGGGTTTTCATTTTGTCTTTGGTTTCCTGCAATTTCACTATGGGGATGACCTGAGGTGGATTGCTTTTTATTTCTCCCACTGGGGATTGCTTGAGCATCTTGAATTTGTGCTTTGGTGCTTCCCTAAGTCCTGTAAAATTCCCAGCCATTATCCCTTCAGATGTGACTTCTGCACCCATTCTGCTTCCCCTCTCTTTCTGGGATTACTATTACAGATGGTATTGCAGACCGTTTCTGCTTTCATCTTTTTGTCTGTCTGTGCTGCATCTGGATTGCTGCTTCTGACTGATTTTCTGTTTACTCATCCTACAGCTTCAATTTTTAACTTGGTTATTATTCCTATGTTCCTGACCTACTAATAGTCATTTTTCAAATCTACCATGTCACTTTTCATAGTTTATAATTCCATGCCTAAATTTTCAAGCTTGATTTTCATTCCCTTGAAAGTAGTAAGCACAGCTGTGTTCTATCTGTTAGTTCTTGGGTCTTTGTGGGTCTGTTTCCTTGTGGGTTGGGTCTTCTGGTTCTCGTTGTGGTATCTTATTTCTTTGGGCTCTTGACTTTGTCTGACTGTATACTGTAACTTATATTTGAAAAACGATTTGTAGGAGTCAGGTGAGGCCTTGGATGATATCTTATTTGCCTCTGGTTGTCAGGCATACATAGGAATCATGAGCCCAGGACCGTCTCAGTCCACATTCCAGGCTCGAGGTTCCCTGGCCCACTGAATGAAGGGAAGCAGAGGGCTGGCTGGCTCCTGGTTTACCTTTACTCTGAGGGTAGAGCCCTCAGCCTACAGCACTAAGTGATAAATCGGAGCCCTCACCTCTGGAGGACCATGAGCTTTTGCAGGTCTCTCTAGTCCTGCGGGGCTGTCGGAAGAACCATTATTTCTCCTGCATCAGCGTGTTGTTAGGGCAAAAACACTTCTGAGTGGTAGGTTTATCCCTTCGGATTTTCTCTGTCTCCTGAGCTTGGCCTGGTTATTCCTCTTTGATGCTTAGGAAGGTGACTTTTACATTTAGTCCATATTTTCTGTTGTCCTTGGGGACCTGTGTCTCTACTCCCTGATGGGATCCATCCACCCACGCGTTTTGCTGCTGGGACAGCCACCTCACAGATCTTGGCCATCTGTAATCACCCACCCCCTGCTCACAAATCCCACAGTGATCAGGCCATGGTCCCATCTTCCCATTTCTTCCTGTGAAAATGACACACAGCTCTGAGCATTGCTGTACAAACAGACCCTGGTTCTGCATTTGGAGCCCAGAGCATGGACTATAAGGGCAGGGTCAGGATCGGGCTGCCTAGCCAGGATGCTGGCTGTACATCTACTTACCAGCCGAGCCCTTGGCGAGTTCCTGACCGCGGGCACCTGGTTCCCCTCTGGGCCGAGGGTGTGCTGGTGCCCGCAGAGCTCGGTGCTGCTGCTGCCTGGACGGGGCCGCTGTGGGTGGGGCTCGGAGATTCGAGCCCTCTCCCTGCAGTGAACAGCGGCAGGGTCTTGGGCAGGTTCCTTCGCTGTTGGTGGCCTCAGTTTGCCACCTGTGAGATGGGGCAGCACGGTGCCTGCCCTCCATCGCACCTGGTGGATGCCATGGGCACAGGCAGGTGGTGCAGTGGTCACACGTGTGTCCCCTCCCTGCAGTGCTGCCAGACACTGGTCTCCCACCACGTGGACCCCTCCCTACGAGATGAAGATGGTTACACAGCGGCAGACCTGGCCGAGTACCACGGACACCAGGACTGTGCCCAGTTCCTGCGGGAGAGCGCCCGGCCGGTAAGCTTCACAGTGCCCACCCAGCCCCAGAGGCTGGGGTGACAGGGCCCCCAACTGCCCTGACAGCCAAGTTATGGAGAAAGCTTACTGTGTACCCCATGCTGTTCCCAGGAAAAGGGTCTTGGGCCAGGACAGAGGCGGTGCCACAAGCCGGCCCAGTGCTGGGCCCGGGCCATGGCAGGGGCCGTGACAAGGGTTATGACAGAGCCGTGATGGGGCTGTGGCAGGAGCTGTGATGGGCCATGGCAGGGGCCATGGTAGGGGCCGTGAGAGAGGCTGAGACAGGGGCTGGGACTGGGGCTGTGAGACGGGCCATGACTGGGGCTGGGACAGGGGCTGGGACAGGGGCCATGCCGGGGGCCATGATGGGGCTGTGGCAGGAGCTGTGATGGGCTATGGCAGGGACCAGGGTAGGGGCCGTGAGAGAGGCTGGGACAGGGGCTGTGACAGAGGCTTGGACAGGGGCCATGACTGGGGCCGTGACCATTGCTGGGACGGGGCTATGACTGGGGCTCCCACAGGGGTGGTGGCAGGGGTCAAGACAGGGGGCAGGGCCATGCCTGGGCCGGGCTACAGTGGGGACCAGGGCTGGGCTTGTGGCTGGACCTTGGCTGGGGCGCCTGTGGGATGACATTGTCAGACTGAGGGTACCCCAGGGTGAGAGCAGAGCCCTGAGCCCCGTGGCAGTCCAGAAGGCAGCAGGTTCCAGTCCTATGCTCCCATCTGGGTATGACCCTCATGGCTCCACCCCTCGCTGAGCCATTTCCCCATCCATAAGGACAAGGATCTCATCCGTCCTGCCGGCCCCAGCCCCCAGCGCATGACAGGCCACCACAAACATGTATTGAATGAAGAGGATCAGATGGGCGTGTGAGCAGGTGGATGAACACAGACAAGTGGGTGGGTGGACAGGCGTTCTCGTGGGTGAGGTCAGCAGTGTGGTCCACGTGGAGCCAGGCCCCCCAGCCTGCCACAGCACCCTCCCGCCCATCCCTGTCCCCATTCCAGGCCCAAGGCAGCTGCTATGACAAGTTAGTCCCAACCTGCCACAGCTTTTGCCAGTTTTCTTTAGTGGCCACCCTTTTGGGAAATGTCCCTGGGATCACGTGGCCCCATTTCCAGGTGAGAGCACCGAGGTCCACAGAGGTGATGTCCCCATGCCTGGTCTCACTGTGGGGTTCCTGCGCCTCGTTTTCCCTCAGGAGCATCCAGGACCAACTGAGGCAGAGCTGCAGTCCTCCCTGGTCCTGGGCCTATGGGACGGTCCTTTCCCTGCCACCTGAAACCCATCTCCCAGCCGGCTGTGGTTTGGGCACCGAGGACTGCCCTAACTGCTTGAAGTCATTTATTTATGACACAATTTATGTACAAAACGTTCTGTTGGTTACTGTTTGGTAAAAGGTTGTCTTTTTGGCTCGGGTTTGAGGAGTTTGTGGGACTGGGCGGGTTCCCCGTGTAGCGGGCAGAGCTCCACAGTCCACAGGCTGGGAAAGTCCCGGCCACCTGGGGCCCTCCCGGGGGCCCCTGTGTGGTGCCTGGGGCCGACCTGGAAGCTGAGATCAGGAGGCGGGGCGGGCGGGGCTCTGCTGCCAGGGGCAGGTCCCGGCATGTCCTCAGCCCCGCCACTCCTGGGCCTCCTGTCCCGGCAGCACCTCCAACCTCAGCCCTCCATCCCCAGGCCCCGGCACATCTGCCAGACCCTCCTGGCCACTTGGCCCAGCTTGGGGAGCCGGGGGGGTGGGGTTCTGGGTGCTCTCCCAACGGCCCCGGGGCCGTGGAGAACCGGCGCATCTCGGGCTGTCCCGCTGTCTCCCCGGAATCACCATAGGGTCTGAGACAGAATTCTGTTCTCTCAGGACTCCCCAACCAGTCGGGGCTGACCGTGCGGCCTCCGCGCCCCAGCCTGTGACCAGCAGTGCCCAGCCTGTCCACACACGCTTGGCTTTTGAGGCTTGTTGCTGTATCTGCAGGGAGCTTGGGGAGCCTGTGTGGGACTCGGGGTTAGGCCTGGAGCCTCCCTTCCTCCCTCAGTGAGCGCCCAGGGCAGCTGGGGTGCGGGTCCCTCACCACCGGCTGGCACGCACCCCCCACCAGGCCACCTGCTTCACATGCACAGACTTGGCTCCGCGGGAGGGCAGGGTGTCAGCTGTGGGCCCCCGCGCTGGGGAGGGGGTGCCGAGCGCCTCATGCAATATTGATGGAAACGCAATATCCAGAGGTCGCCACGCTGGCCTCTTCCCAAGCTGGGCTCAAGGGAGGTGGTGAAAGCCACACAGGGCGGCCCGTACCTGCCCCTGGGGAGCCGTGGGTCTCAGGCGAGGTAGCCTGGGGAGCCAGGCCGGACCGGTGGTGGTGAGACCTGCCCTGTGGGAGGTGCCCCCTCCACTGGCGTGGCTGCAGGACCTGGGTTCACCCGCTGCCGCGCTAGCCCTGCCTCAACGGCCCCACCTCAGCCTGGGCCACGTCTTCCTGCTCCCTGGCCCTTGGGCACCCCTCTGCACAATGAAGGGTTGGGCCTCTGACTGGGGGCGCTCCTGGCTGCAGGGCTGGGTTTGAGTGAGGTCCCAGCCAGGTGGTGACAGTTGGGAACAGCAGTCCTAGATGACGAGCACGACCCTCCAAAGGGGGGAAGCCCAGCCCCCAGCACCCCCACCGCACCCACCTGTCCTGCTTGCCCCTGGCCCTATACTCACACCCACCGGGGTTGGAGAGGCTCTTCCTGGCTGGGGAGCGCTGGCCAGTTGGCAGCATCTCCGAGCCTCAGTTTCTCATCTGTTCAGTATGATAGAAGAGCCTCGTGGCAGGAGATGCTCCTCAGACACCCAGCGGGTGCTAATTCCCTCCCCTAGGTCAGAAGGGCTCCAGGACCCTTTCATCCTCGCTGGGGAACTGAGGCCCACAGAGGGCAAGGGACTCCCCTGGGCAGCCTCCTCTCCAGGGAGGGGTGGGGCCCGGCTGTGCAGCCAGTAACCGAATCTCAGCCATGGTGACCGGAGTCCGGCGCCCATCTGTGGGTCATGATTTTCTCAGCCCGGGTGGCATTACAGGCCTGTAACCCGGCTCACCACAGCTGTCCTCGATGTATAATGCATGGCAGGCACAGCATTGCTCAAATCTCACCAAAAACACGGGAAAGGAGGCGGCAGGCCACGGGAAGGCCCCAGCCCAGGCCCAGACGACCGCCGACCTCAGGGCAATTGCCTGATTTGGGGGCCGTGCGTGCCCAGCCGTCAGGACCCAGGGGTCGGAGCCCCACGTCTGAGCTCCTTTAGCTCCTTGCAGACTTGTTAGTGTCAGGATGTGGGTTCTCCCACCGCCTGGGAAACAGCACAGCGGACGGGGCCTGGGTAGAACTCCCAGGTGAACACCACGCCAATGAGGTCTGAGCCCCCCAGTGCCGGCCCTGCCAGGCACCCTCCATAATTCTCACCTTCCTGACTTACAGGTGGGGAAACCGAGGCCCAGGGAGTGACTCCCTCACGCTTCTCCTTGGAGAGTGGGGAGCAGGATGTGGCCCGGGGCCAGGAGAGTGGTACCAGGTCCCCCAGGCTGCGGGTGCTGCACAAAGCATTCCCCTGCGCCCCAAACCAACTTCCTGCCCCTTTGGTCTTCCCCTGCGCTCTGAGGGGGGAGGGGAGCTTCTTGCCCCTGACCTCTGAGAGCAGATTCCTTTAGGGAGAGGGGCCAGAGGCAGGAGGGGAGGCCCCTCCCCGAGCTCAGCCATCCTCTGTCAGACTGACAGCCAGCCTCTCTAGCTGTGCCCCAGGCTCTGGGGTCTGACTCAGCCCTGCTTAAAGCTCGCAAGCCGGCCGATGTCTGCGTCATGGACGCTGGAAGAAGACACTAGAGTTCTGGGTCCAAGACACACTGTAGAGAGCAAGCATCATGTTTTATGGGGTCCTTCCCCCCCCCCAAGTCCCTGCGTGTTGCGATATGGGTCCAGATGGCTACCGCGCACGCGGGAGGTTTATGTCACAGCTGAGGACCGCTGAGCCTGGGGAACCCCCATTTTATAGTGAGGAGTAAGATCCCTCTGGGTCCCTCCCTCCAAATGCAGCCCTGAGATATGGCCATGTAAAGAGCAGTCAGGGCTTTGCGTCCTCGGCAGGAGTGCCAGAAACCCAACCAGTGTCAGGGCCTCCCCTGCCCCCAGAGGCCCACCCATCCGCCTCCTCCTTTAATGCTGATGCCCCCGGACCTAAGGATTCAAGCGGCTCCCGGAACAAGGACTGGGGTCTCAAATAAGATTCTGATCCCGGCTCTACCACATTGCCAGCTTGGGGCCTTTAGGAAGCCCCCTGCCCTCTGTGAGCCTTGGTTTCCCCATCTGTGCCCTGGGGGCTCCACTGGGGGTGGAGACACTGTACTGGGGCTTTCCTCTGGCTGGCCTCTCCCTCTCCGGTGACCCAGGGATCTCAGGTCTCGCCCACATCCCCAGAGGGTCTGCTTCCCCGGCCCCTGCCCTGTGGAGGGTGAAGGTGCCATGGTAAGGGATCCCGCACCCAGCCCCAAGCCCGCCCGGCCACCTGATACCTCGGCCTTCAAATATTAATGCGACACCACCCGCTCCCAGGGGCGGCAGCTGGGACAAGCCTGACAGCCCCGGACAGCGGCAGCTCCCTGTGCTCAGCCCAGCCCCTGCCTCTGTGGGTCCCCCCGGGCCGGGGGCCGACGGACGCCCCCCCACGGAGCCCCAGGGCTCCTGGGTTCTCCACACGGATTCCTGGAAGGACTGAGGTGTGAGGTGCGTGGTGGCCAGGCAGGTGGGGTTTCAGGCTGTGTTCCTTCTCAGCGGCCACAGTGGGCGGAGGGTCCTGGATGGGAGAGCAGTTGAGGGGCTGGAGGCAGTGGGTGCAGGTCAGGGGTTCTCCTGAGGGCGCCCCCAAGCTGGGGTGGCCCCTAAGGTCTGTGCCTCCTAGCCAGGAGGTGGGATCGGGAGGTGGGACTGAGCAAGGGGACACTCAGAGTGGCCAAAGGGTTTGCCCCAGCAGGACCGGCTACCGCGCGCGGTGGGCCAGTGCAAAATGAAAACTCGGGCTTCTTACTCAAAAATGATGAAGCGTTTTAAGACAGAGGCAGCAGAGCGTTAAACCGAGCGGCAGCATGGGCCACACCCTCTTGACACGGTGCCAGCCCCAGGCCACACGTCCATGTCCTGCCCAGGGCTCTCTCCAGCACCGACCTGGAGGCTTGTCCCACCTCCACTGCCCACGGCAAGGAGGGGTGCGGAGCTGCAGTCTGACAGCCGGGCTGGGGTGCTCAGAGGGCCCGCAGCTGTGGCCCTGCCTGCTGGAGGGGCAAGCGGGGGCAGCCCTGCGGCAGGAGGGCCTCACGGGGACGCTGGTGCAGCTGCGAGCCCAGGAGTCTGCCCCCGCGAGAGATGGGCTTGGCCGGACTTCAACTTTTCAGCTTTAAACCAAAAAGTGACCAGCTTGGCTCGGGTGTCGTCCTGGAGAATTTCTCTGCTACGTGAGGAGGGACATGAGGAGACAAGTGCAGTTCACAAGTGCCGCTCACAGCCCCCGGGTGTCAGCAGCCTGCTCGCTAGGTCAGCCGGGCCAGAAGTCTTGGCTTCTGGTGGTCAGTCCCCAGAGCTGAGGCTGCTCAGGGCTGAGCTGGGGAGATGCGTCCAGGTCAAGGGCTCCTCCTGGCGGCGACCACTCAGTTCCCCAGGGGCAGGAGAGGTGGCCACAGTCAGGTCTGTGCCTTGCCCCGGACATGGGGCAGGGCGTAGGGGTGAGTTTTGGGGGCCCCTGCAGTGCCGGGGGGCTGACCTTGGTGATCTCTGTTTCCCTGTGGCCTTGGGGAGGGGAGCGGCCTGGACATTGCCTGATGGGTCCTGGGCACAGCGCCCCGGCTCTGGGGTGTGGCCACAGCCACACAGCCCCCACCTGTGGGTCTGAGAAGTGTTGCAAGTGCCTCACAGTGCTCGCTCTGCTCTCCTCGCAGAGAGGGGAGCCGTTCTAGGCCGTCTGTCTCAGCACAGAAGTCGGGGACAGTGAGGGTGTGTGTGCGTGTGCATGCATGTCTCATAAGGCCAGAGAGGTAAGCGCACGCCGGACACCCGGCCCCAACCCAGCACCCGGAGCTGCCGGGTTGAGCTGCCTCCAGAGAAAGGCTGTGAGCCAGGCCCTTAGACGAAGGGGGCGTTCACCTGGTGGTGCTGGGGATGGGAGCCTCCCCGCTCAGGGAGACTGGGTCAGGACTAGCCTGCCCCATGCCCCCCGCCGCCCCGGCAGGATTGCTGGCGGCCCACGTCAGGCCCACCCGGGCCTCCTGCTGACCGGGTCTGTCCGCCCCCAGGTGCGGCTCCTGATGACGCCACCGCCACCTCCGTTTCCGCCCCCTCTGCTGTCAGCCGCGGGGCACTCCCAGGAGGATGGGACAAGGGGCTCGGGGCTCGGGAGCCCCACCCGTGAGTACACATCTCCAGGGAAGACTGGCCTGGACCGTGGGCGCCGGGAGTGGGTGCTGCTGGCCTCACCTCCAAGGTCCCTCGAGGGGGTGGGCTGGGGGAGCAGCGGACTCCAGGAGCTGGGCAATGCCACAGTGAGGCCAGAGCTGAAGCCAGCACTCCCGTCACCCAGCCCCAGCTGCTCCCAGATTTCCTTCACTGCCTTGGTTCCTTCCTTAAAGTGAGGATCAACATTTTCCTTGACGGACACTTGTAATTGCAATTAAATGGCCCCCTGCTCCGCCCTCCAGAGTCCCTCTGTGAGCTCGGAGCCCCCAGGGCCTGGCTGTCCTGCCTGTGTGATCCTCGGCAGCCTCGTTCCCTCTCTGGGCTTCGGCTTGTCCAGAGGTAAATCTCGAAGGTCAGGTTACTAGGGCCCGGGGCCCTTCTGGATCTGAGGCTGCTGTCAGAGACCCCAGCAGGCGGAGCATCTGTGGGCTAGCAGAGGCAGGTCACTGATTCTTAGGGAACTGGGACCATTTTAGCAAAATGAAATGGACAGCATGAACAATATCAGCAGGCCCCATATTTGTGAGGGTAAGCACCGCTTCATGCATGGGTCGTGGTTTTATAATCACATGCAGTGTGTTCGTGCGCGTGTGTGTGTGTGTGTGTGTGTGTGTGTGTGTGTGTGATGCAGGATGTGTTTCTCGGTTGGGGTGCGGCCCTGGGGAGGGGCAGTAAGAGGAGAATTCTGATCTTTTGCGGTCTGATGGGGCTGCATTAGGTCTCCAGACCACCCAACCCAACCCTCTGCCCTTCCCAGCTCGAGGGGTGAGGGGGGTAAAACGCAAGCTCTCCAACTGGCCAGGCTTGGGGAGCTCCGCAGGGGCCCACGGACACCCTAGCAATGAATCAGTCTGCCGGGCCCTGGGGCATTTGTTGGGGGACTGGCTGGGTCTTTGGCTCCAAGTCTAGTGGTCAGAAGGCCAGTTGTGCCCCAGGTCCAGGGGTTTCTACCCCCATCCCCTGCCTTCTCAGGGAAGCCCCCTGACTCTGCTTCCCTTCCCCCAGCAGTGGTGACTCCCAGCCTAGCCCGGCCTGACCAGCCTCTTCTGAGGGAGCAGACGATCTGTGCGGCACCTCCATGGGTCACCACCAGCGCCATGGCCGTCCCCACGGTATGCCTCCCAACTCCACACCCCTGTCCCCCCATCTCCCCAGCCAACTCTCAAAGCCCAGCTGGCCTCTTGTCACAGAGTCCTGTGTGCGCCCAGGCCAGGTCACTTCTGGGGCAGAGATGCAGTTGTCCATGGGTGGGTGGGCCTGGGGTCTACTGCCCTCCTCCTCAGGGGCTCCCACCCAGCCCAGGACCCCCTGGAGGAGGCTGGCTCCCCTTTCTCTTTTTCTTTCTGGGCATGAGGCCTTTATAAATCCAGCTCACCCTTTCCTTGAATGGGTCCTGGGAACTCTCAGCCCCTGAGATGTTCTGTACAAGTTTGGGAAATGCTGCATGGTGCTGTCCCTCTTGGAGAGTTATAGGGCACACTTAAAGGCTCTGACAAGTCCTGCAGTTCAGAATTGGCCACCGGACTTTCTCTATGTAACTGTACCCGTTTGCTCATTCACATGGCAACCTCCTCTCTGCCATGTACAGAAGAGGGGAAGAATCTCTGGTTGCCTCTCAGCCAGCCGTCCCCCCACGCACATACCTGGATCCCACAGCGGACCCCGGGGATCCCTGCCTTCAGAGGCCAGCGCTTACCAGGCTGGGTCTCCCTGGCCTACCCCCTCCCCCTCCTCCCTGGGCCTTGCTAACCCCGTGTGGCCCTCCCCACCGGCCCGGGCGGGGTCCCCTCCGAGCCCTGAGTGACCAGCCTGAGTCCGCACAGGGAGAGATGGTGGCGGGAGACGCCCCGAACTGCCTGGCGGTGCAGCAGCTGGACAGGCTGCCCTCGGGAGACCTCGACGGGCTGGTGCCCACGCGGGACGAGCGCGGCCGGCCCATCCCCGAGTGGAAGCGGCAGGTGATGGTGCGGAAGCTGCAGGCGCGCCTGGGCTCAGAGCCCGCGCCCCAGGCCCAGGTGGGGCCCGG